TTGCCTCAGTAATCTCATCGCACTTATTCGTGGGATTAAGCGGGATACGGTATTGTCTCGCACTTGTATTTCTGTTTCAAGGAAAGTTCTAAGAAACGACGTTTTTAGTCTTAAATCTACTGCAACATGGCGTCAGACGAAGGAGTCATCGATTGGGATGAAGCCATGCAACAATGTGGCGATGATGAAGAGTTCCTTCGAGAGCTATTGGACGATCTAAGGTCTGAAACAGACACGCAGATGGAAAAGATGGCGGAAGTATTAAAGGTAAATCTTAAACTGCTGATGAAGTGATTATTGCTCTGGTTGACTGTGAAGTTGTCGCGTTGGTTGCCTTAAATTCAAAAGTTTTTCTGATTTGATTCCTATTGTTTACTCACAACTGGTTTTGTGTTGTCTTGTCTTGTCTCATTCCTACTCTGTGAAATACTTCAGACACCTGATGACTCTTGTTTTGTTCAACTTATGCGAGCTGCTCATGTGATTAAAGGTGCAGCATCTAATCTAATGTGTGGTCAACTGCGCAAAGGTGCTGCAGACTTGGAAACATTGGCGAACACATCATCGAAGGAAGACAAAGATTATAAGGATGAGGAGCTCATGAAGAGTTTGAAGGAAAAGTTTGAGGCCTTGGAAGAGGCTGTGAAAAACTACCATGAATATCTCGAGAAGGTTGACGTTTAAAAACCGATTATCATCCTATTAATATGTTCCAAAGTTATTTTTTAAAATGTTGAAAATTATTCACTGCTTCTTTCTTCTGCATACTGTAGTGGTTTGATGGAATACATCTTCCACCGTATTCCCATCTGTAGCCATTAGGCATCGCCTGGCCTAGTCGTACGATCTGACCATTACTATTATGTTCATTGTTTTAATTAATACTGATTTATATCCTATCAAATCGACCTTATGATTCATTCACAAAGTAAGCTACCAAGTCTTTGGCTGAAACCACCCCCACCAATCGCTCTTGTTCATCCAAGACAAAGAGTCGGTTGAAACGCAGCTGCGCAAAATATTCAAAAATGGATTGCAACGTATGAGTTGTACTACATGTGTGCATGGCGTCTGGTGTGGTCACATCCGTCCGTTGCTGATCCAAGACATCTTGAAGTTTCAAATCCAAATTGGCAACAGCATCCTTAGCATCGGTAGCCTTGGTCAAAAAAGTAATGTCACTCCGGCTGTAAACTCCCAGCAATTTATCAGGGTTGTTGGTATCCATTACTGGAAGGGCGGAAAGATCGTGGGTGTGCATAAGTGCCAACGCTTCCGCCAAAGATTGGTGGGCGAAAACCTTAATGAGTTCATCTTGGTACCTTCCAATCTTCAAATCAAAAATGGCATCATCAAAGAGTCTTCGTTGTTCCCGAAAGTGGGTCACCAAGTGCTCCAATATGTTGGTATAGGTGATGCAAGCCAAAACTCGCATATCTTCCGGCATGACAATTGGCAAAAATTCCAATTTATTTTGTAGGAGCATCTTGCAAGCTTGCTTCAATGTAGTGGAAGAATCCACGGACCAAAAGCCAAATCGAATTCCCACCGCTTTGGATACGGCTTCGTCCGAGAAAATATCAGCAATGGAGCGGGTGGCCAAAGATGCCTCATCGGAATTGGTCGATCGAAAGTGCCTCAGTATATCAATGAAGTCTGTCACTTTTAGAACCCCCACAAACTGACAAATGGAAGGATCCCAGAGCGGTGCCGTTTGCATATCTGATGATTCAGGTGGAAAGTATGAAAATATTAGAGGTGTGAGAGAGAGACACACACACACAAATAATAGTAATTGTTCATGATGATTCGATGGAACCGAGCTGGGAAAAGGGAGACTAAGGAAAACGAGCATAATCCAGCTAACCAACGTTCGACGCTAGGCTTCCAAACCTGACCCATAGCCCAGCTAACTCAGATATCAATCTAAAGTCCAATCGAAACGCAACGTACCATGTTCTACTAAAGCATAGAAAGCCAATTGAATTGGAATCCGAGTATCAAAGACGACAACCTTCCCACTCGGTCTAATGACACTGAAACAGTTGTGACTGTCCAAGAACGCACTGATGGCTTGTCTCCCCGCTCTCCGAACCACTTCTTGCTCGTTGACCAAACTGAGGTTCCCCGTTGGAAGATTATCAGCACCTAATGAGGCTTGTGCAGCTGTTTGCTGTTGATGTATATCCATTATTTTCAAGCTCGATGGATCGTCAATGAATGAAGAAAACAAGGTCAGAGTTCGATCCGCTGGACGCAGTTGATTTCTTGGTACTCGTAGTTGCTGAAGGCTTGACACCCCGAAAAAGACTTGCAATCTTCCGTCCTGCTTCGCTGCGAGTTGGTTTGAGTCGATGAGGTCGTACATAATTCGATCGAAGAAGTCCAACCACAGGAACCGTACTGTATGTTCCGCTTCCTACCTTGCTCATAACCCGTTGCCTTCCAACCCGCAGATTGAACTTTGACAGACGCTCGTCCGAAGCCGGTTGACGGAGGTACACATGGAGCAATGCCGGCCAAGTTTCTGGTCTAGACTTGCTTTTTCCGCTATTCATCCAAAATAAATACCTTACTGTAAGAGCATCCCTCTTACGATTCATCCAAAAGACACACAACTGTACCATAGACTGTAAGCTTAATTTCCCCTGAGTTTCAACGCTATTGTACATTTCTGAACGACACCACAGTCTCAGCAACGACCAAGACGTCAATTGAATCAATCAATCAATCCTCAATCGAATCATATCTATCATCCATCATCTATATCTTTCCTTAAACTCTCAAGAGAATAAATATTGGCAACCATGGGTGGCAACAAAGAACAAACTGAAGAGGAAATGGACCGGCAGATCGAAATGTTCAAGGTCAAGAAACTCATCAAAAACCTAGAAGCTGCTAGAGGAAACGGTACATCCATGATTTCCTTAATCATTCCTCCCGGAGATCAGATTTCACGTGTCAACAAGATGCTTGGTGATGAATACGGAACTGCTTCCAATATCAAGTCTCGTGTCAATCGTTTGTCTGTTCTGAGTGCCATTACTTCCACTCAGCAACGTCTCAAGTTGTATAACAAATGCCCCACGAATGGATTAGTGATCTACTGTGGAACTGTCATCACCGAAGATGGAAAGGAGCGCAAGGTGAACATTGATTTCGAACCCTACAAGCCCATCAACACTTCGCTTTATCTTTGTGACAACAAATTTCACACTGAGGACCTCAGCGAATTGCTTATGGACGATGAAGCCTTCGGGTTCATTGTCATGGATGGTAATGGAACCTTGTACGGTACTGTCCAAGGATCCAATCGTGAAGTCTTGCACAAGTTCTCTGTCGATTTGCCCAAGAAGCACGGACGCGGTGGTCAATCTGCCTTGCGTTTTGCCCGTTTGCGTCTAGAAAAGAGACATAACTACGTCCGAAAAGTGGCCGAATTGGCCACTCAGCTCTTTGTTACGGACGGACAAAGACCCAACGTCCAAGGTCTTGTCTTGGCTGGTAGTGCCGACTTCAAGTCTGAACTCATGAGAAGTGACCTGTTCGATCAGCGATTGCAAAAGATCGTACTCAAGATGGTCGATGTCAGCTACGGAGGCCTGAATGGTTTCAACCAAGCTATTGAGCTCAGCGCTGATACCCTCTCAAGTGTCAAGTTGATGAAGGAGAAGAAGTTGCTACAACAATATATGGACGAAATTGCTCAAGATACTGGAAAATACTGTTTCATGGTCGACGATACACTGAAAGCCTTGGAATTGGGTGCTGTGGAAGATCTGATTGTCTGGGACAACTTGGACAATCAGCGATATGTATTGAGAAATGCATCAACGTCAGAGAATGTGATAAAGCACTTGAATAAACAACAAGAGACGGAAGATGCCAACTTTCGCGCCGAGGATGGAGCTGAATTGGAAGTCATGGAAAAGGAACCCCTGGTGGAATGGTTCGCCAACAACTACAAGCAGTTTGGTTGCAATCTCGAATATGTCACGGATCGGTCATCAGAAGGAACCCAATTCGTGAGAGGGTTTGGTGGAATTGGAGGTATTCTAAGATGGGCAGTCGACTTTGCCGAAATGAATTCGTACGAAGAAGCGGCTGCCTTGGACGATGATGATGACGATGATGACGACGATGAGGATGGTGCTGACGGCGATGACGATTATGGCTTTGACGATGGTGACTATGCTTTTTAAATAGGTATGCAGTATTATGATGATAATAATAAAATGGTAAAGTAAAGAAATAGGACTATCGAACAAAGAAGACTAATAGTGTATTACAGTGTAGATACATAAGTTATCGTAGGCCTAGACAGAATGAATCACACAAACAACAAATCATAGTAGAAGCAGGGTCGGACATCTGCTTGCCAACAGCCACACGAGCTGCAAATGGCCACGGAGAGTAGCGACATGCAATGCCGTCTTTCCACCTTTTGATGTTGCCTCCGTATTTGCATTTCGATCCAGCAACAGCTGAACTGTATTCAGTTGGTTGCGGGCACATGCAAAATGGAGAGGGGTCCATCCTTTATCGTCAGTTGCTCCCATATTTGCGCCATGATCCAAAAGAAAGCGTACAAAGTGAATATCTCCCAGGAAGCTTACATAATGCAAGGGCGTCATTTCGTGATTTGCTGTTGTCTCGGTGCTTGCGCCATGGTCCACTAGAAGCTTGGCAATCTCAAAGCATCGACTTTTACATGCGCAATATAACGGTGTCATTCCGTCTTTCCCCCTTGCTCTCATGTTTGCATTTCGCTGAACCAAAAGCTGGACAACCTCGAATTTTCCACTACTACATGCCGAGTGCAAGGGTGTCATGCCGTCTCTTGTTGTTGCTTCAAGAAGCTTTGAATCATAGCGGTCCAACAACACTTGGACAACCTCCAAGTGCCCACGTGAACAAGCACAATGCAAAGGCGTCATTTCATTATCCATCCTTGCTTCGAGGTCTGAATTTAGATCCAACAGGTGACGGGCAATTTCCAATCGGCCATATGTGGAAGCGAAATGCAATGCCGTCATTCCCTTGTTGGCCATTGCCTCGATGTTTGCATTTCTTTGCAACAAAAGACGGACAATTTGCAAATGGCCAAACATGCAGGCACCATGCAACGGGGTGGATTCGAAATTGTCCATTGCATTCACGTCTGCTCCGTATTCCAAGAACTTGTTCACAAGCAACAAATGACCATGAATGCATGCAATGTGCAAGGGTGTCTTCCCCCTGGTATGTCTGTCTCTAGCAGCACTCCTTTCATTGACGTCTGCCCCATCTTCCAATAATTGAGTCACACGATCCAAATATCCAGCGATCGTATAGGAATGTAGTGACATGGTCCGTCTACCTTGAG